ATGGGGGGTGTTTGAACACCCTGAACATCCCCCTTACCTACGTCCCTGGGGTGAATTCTGGCAGTGTTGGAAATTTTTTACTTATCCTTCATAACATTTAGGTAAGATGAAGTAACCTTCTTTTTTTTTTCTTTCTTTAATCCATTGGAAACTTTGTTTTTAATTTAATTTTATTGTTTTCCTCTTTCTAGTTATGTGTCTATTAGTTTATGTTAGAAAGTAGTTGAAATTTTGACTGATGATAAACTGTATTGGATGTAAATTCTCCTAGCAGCTTTCAAGAAGTGATCCAAACTTGCATAGTCAGCAGAAACAGAGCTTTAGTTGAGGCTTAAGAACCTAATTTAATTTGAAAGTGGTCAAAATTTTGATTGGCAATCAATTATATTCAACATAAATTCTCCTAAGAACTACCCCAAAAAACCAATATTTTTCAGATCATTCTATTCACACTCTATTCTTATTTGTAACCACATATCCATAAAGGTGCCGTGATTCTATCTTCCATGCCTATCATCTCCTATCACCCCTTAAAGTTTGTATCTCCATTAATTAAACCCACTCTATATGGATAACCTCTAAAGAGATAAGTTTATTTACATCAAATACTCACTTTTTGCTGTTGTGCTATATTTAATGGCTGTTTCAGTTTTGTTGGGTGTATATATAATTGGTATAATAGGACTTGCAGAAGTTGTTGTAGTCTTAGGCAAAGGCGTTGTTGGCAGGAATGTTGGGTATATGCTGGATATAATAGAACGATTTGTAATTGTCTGCAACTTCACTTGATTCGGATTTCCAGTCACATTAGGAGGAGGTGAAACTTTTAATGTTGGACTCGAACTTGTTGCTGGCATCGTGATCATATGAACACCTGCATGGAATTATAATGTTTGAAGCAAAGCCAATAAGTAATAAACTGTGAAAATTATTTAGGAATGATTGCAGAAATATTAAGAAGCATAAAACACAAGAATATCATGAATATCATAAAAAGCAACATTCTCAAATTTACAAGTTTATCAAATTAACAATTTTAAATTAATAAACTCCCAAATTCAAAGTTTTTATACAACTCCTGTATTTTTAAGAGATAAAAAATACAGTAAAATTTAAAAACTCACCTGTTCCACAGTGGTATTGAACTTCTAAGTATTTGAGTGTACCTGGACAGGGATCATGAAATGTAGCACTAGAAACATTTACAGTACAATTTGGTTTTGCGCCACACCTGAAATTAAACAAACAATTAAGTTTATAAAGTAATACTTAAACAAGTAGGTTCCTTATACATTTTTAGGAAAATAAATGAATTGTAAGTGTTTTTTTTTGATATAATGTAGCACAATTAAAAAAAAATTTAGTGCTTATGAATGAGTGATGTATAAGTTGTTACTTAATGACTATTTCTAAGATCCTTGTTAAAAATGATTTTGAAAAATACATAAAATAGAAAGCACAAATTAATATTCAAGCAAAGAAAAAAATTATCAATTTCACATTAAACGAAAACACTAAAGCTTTGTTGGGAACTCAAACAGTTTTGAATCTCCAGCCTCAATAGTGATTCCTCAGGTTTTGATAAATATTTCCCTCCTCACTTAAGTAATAGTTTGTGATCTTTAACACATAAACCTTTTTGGCGTAATTTTTAACAACATAAAAATGTACATTAAGGGTGATTATTGGGAAACATTTTGCATTATTATCAAACTTTTTAGTTTATTGTAGTAGTGGAATCTATTATTATTATTTTTTTTTGATAACACAACAGTAAGCATTCACATGAGAACATAGCTTCAAAAGAAAAAATTTCATTCAAAAAAAAAAAAAAAATACAGGTTATCACAAATATATGAAAACTATCAAATATCTTGAGTAACCATTGAATCAAAAAATTTATGTGTAAAAATTTTTCAAAAGATGCATGTAATGATACTAAACTGAACTCTTAATCTTACTCTCTGGAGGTAGAATGAAGTTAACTTCAAAATCTTAAAAATTAGAGATGCTATTTTTTAAATTACAGATTTGGATTTAATTAAAAATTATCCCGATTTGACTTCGAGGTTGTTGCCTTTTGGTTCATAGGTGTTGTAATTACAAACTAAAGATGATGTGAAAATTGTTTAAAATAGATTGTTTAATACCGATAAATAATTGCCAGATAACAAAGATAAAACAAGTCTTCTTTCATATTTTTAAACTCAAACCAGGCTCAAATTCTGGGAGACAATTTTGTGTCAGTAAATAGGTTTACTAAAATTTAAAATAAGTCTATTTTAAATTATTATTTTTATTTTCCGATAGCTCTCGAGAAATTTTTGAGCTAGCTGTATTTTAAACAATTTTTACTCTATCCTGAACATTATCTGTAATTGATAAAAATACTTGTAAAATAAAAATAGACTTTTTAAAATTTCAGTAAACCTATGTACTGACACAAATTTGGCTCCCAGAGTTTGAGTGTGGTTTGGGTTTAACAATATGAAACAAGATTATTTTTATCTTTGTGATCTGACAATTATTTCTTGATATTAAATAATCTATTTTAAACAAAGTTTTCAATTACAGCAACACCTATGAACCAAAATACTACAAACAGTACGTCATATTGGGATACTTCTTCTGAAAAATCCAAATCTGCAGTAAAAAATAGGAATTTCAATTTTGAAGTTGCCTATCGCACCACCTCCAGGGGGTGAGATTGGAGGGTCGAGTTTAATATAATCAACTACATGTTTCGATAATATTCTTAGATAATTTGATCTGATGTGAGCTTTTCGTGACATTTGACCGTTGCCATATTTTCTGGTCACCTTTTGCACTGTTGCACCGTGTTTTTTCTTTCCTTTTCATTGCATCTTAGTGATGAATTAACATTTTGAAAACTTTAAATGGACTTCACTTAAAACGTTACTTTATAACAGATCTTATTCAAAATGTGACATCATACATATTGCGTATGCAGTCATGCTGCTAGAATTAAAAAAAAAATTGTATTTATAGTTTTTGTTTAAGTAAATCATTAACTTAAAGTTCCATAAAAATCCAAGTTTATCATTTAATTAATCAAATTNGGCGCTTCCTTATTATGAAATATTCAGTGTAGTAACAATCTGTGAGAGAAAAATAATATTGTAAATGGAAAAAAAAAAAAAAAACGTATCAATATCCACAAGAAATACAGCATTATTATGACTCCAATGAAGACATAAAATTGCTATTTTCTTTTTATTCCTACATGCTTACAGATTTTTTTTAAAAAACCATTTAAAGATTCATGTCAATGAAACCATAGAATTTATCATTTAAAATATCATTTTAAAGAAAATTTTTTATTTTACATTCAAGTTTGATTTTATTTGGCTAGAAAAAATTATCAAACTTATCTAAACAATGATCACAAGAATAACAACACAAAATAGTTAATTCAGAGATTAGAATAAAAAAATCATTTTACCAATTCATACTTCATCAGAAACTCCATTTTTTAGAGAATTGGAACTACTTTAACCAAACTTAGAATTAAAATAATTAAACTTACCTTTGCCCATCCTTGGTTCTCTTAGAATGAATTTAAGAGCTATAAGCTTACCTTAAATTGTTTTTATGACTTACCCGTTTGTTGTTCAACACTTAACCAAATGAAATTTTCTTGTTCATGACGTTAACTATTATATGATTAAAGGATCATTAACTTTATCACAATCAACTCAGAGTCTAGGCATATATAACGTTTTAACCGCATAAACGTTAAAGGCTTACAACTTACAACGGATATACCTTTTTATAAATCGCCAGCAAGTTTTCGCATTTCTGAATGAAATTTTCTCGTTCATTTCGTTAACTATGATATGATTAAAGATATCATCAGCGACATCATCTATAACACACTCTATCAACTCGAAGTTTACACCTCTATGGGTATATAAACATTTTACAACTTGCAAGCCTCATATTTTTTGTAATATGTTAGCAAGTTTTCCCATTTGAATGAGATTCCCTCATACAGGGTGTTTTGTAAAGATCGCTCTTGATGTATATTTTTAGAACACTTATTGAAATTGAAGACAAAAAAGTATAGACAATGGGGGTCACAAACTAATATTTAAGAGAGGAAAAAAACGCCATCGAAATCTGAAAAATCACTGCCTAAAATGACCAAAACCTGCTTTAATTGGGGAAGAAATAAGTGAGGAGTTAAAAGATGATTATTAGAAATAATTTTAATTTCAACTTGCTGGCTTTGATGTTAATTACATCAATCTTTCTTAAATTGCTGGATTTGGATAGCCTTTTACGTTGCATTTTTGTATGGATGGAAAACACATTATTTATATTGGATTTAAACTATATTGCTGGTAAACAAATGGTTTTTAGTAGCCATATGATCGTATGTTAACAGGAGAAAGTTAAAACAAAAATTGAAAAATTAAAGAATAAAAATATAGAATGGCATTTAACTTTTTTTGAATACTAGAACAAAATCAGAAAATGTAACTGAAATTTTTTTTTTTTTTTTAATTAAAAGTAAATTGAAGCTAGCAAAAATTAGGACTTGTCGTTGTAGTTAATTTACGTTTATTGTAACTGCAATATGGGCTATTGGCGACGGTCTGGGAAACACCCCTGAGGATGATCCGCAGACATGCCATCACAATTTTGATCCTCTGCAGAGGGGATGGCACCCCCGTTTCGGTAGCCCGACGACCTGCACGCGAAGTCGAGCACTTTACGGTAGAACAGTTTAACGAGAACCAATACGGCACACCCTCGGTCCCTACGCAGACTGATCCAAGTGGTCAGCAAAAATTAGGACTGGGATATATTAGAATTTTAATATCGCATTATACATTGTAATTAAATACAGATATTCGACTATACATTTTAACTGTACTTTATTAATTTACCTGGATTAATTGTTACCCAAATGAAATTTATTAACGCTTTTAATAATATCGTGTTTGATAATTATCGCTATCAATAATACGCGTGATATTATCGAGCTCGATATTTACTATGGTTAATAATAATCGCGGTTTCGTAAACGATAATTATAGTTTTTGATAATTTTCGTAACACTCGGATAAGATATTTATCGTTGTTGTTACTGCTCACTATATTATTTTAAAAATAAATTATCGTTTAGTCCAACGTTATCGTAATACATTGCATTCACGATCTATCACGAGAATGCTTTATCTATAATTAATATAGTCAAAACTTTGTTATAGCTTTGACTATATAATTTATATAGTCAAAACTCAATAAAATATATAAATAAAAATGGAAAAATAAATAGTATAAAGCTTAAGGAAAAAATTGATCTTCATCTACGAGAATTAATTATTAAAGGTCAAATTAATGGCATTAGAAATATATTTCAAACTAAAATCATAAAATGAGTAAAAAAAAAAAGTACTTTTAAGAACAAATACGCATCGAATTTAAACAAAATATAATTCTTTAAAAAAAATTTTTTTTAAATTTTTTTCATTTCGTGGACATCTAGTTTTAAAACTTTTTTGACGGAAGATTTCAATTTTATTACGCGTTTCAGAATTGAGTAAATAAAGAAATAAACCAACTAGAGATTTCCATATAAAATTTGAGGAAAAGGAAAAGGACATCAAAAATTCAGAAGCTTTTCTCTGAAAAATCAAAGTTAGTTGATATGAATATGCGTGCGCTGCAATATTAACATACCATGGATAGGAAAATACATTTTCATATGCACGTTGCTGAGTTTTTCTAAAATGTATACATTTTATTTCTCTAGAGTATTTCTTGTATTCTTTGTACATAAGGCGAAAGTCAATAAATCTTGTATTCATAAGACTGTTTCAAAAAACACTTTCACACAAGCAAATGTTTTTTTTTTGGACTTACTATTCATCATGTTTACAAAAATTCTAGTTTAAAAAGTTAGTTTTCTAACATTTGCTACAACTATATTAGTAATTTGCAGCCTCATTCTTATTTCATTCAAATATTTTAAGAAAAATTGTAATAAAAATAGCTTAGCCTAATAATTTTAAAGAATTACAGAATTGCAAGAAAACATCTTCTACACTGACGAACAAATTTTTTGTTGCCTTTTTATAAATACTTTTTCTTGCCCAATTCGGGTGTAAGTGTTTCAAATCTGAAATTAGTTTTGCTCCGAAAGCTACAGATTTTTTAATGATATTTTTAGTCTATTTTTTTTGTCAAAATGTAAAAGTTCAA